TCTACCAATGGCAAAAATGAGAAACAGCCCAGCCTGGGTCAGAGTCAGAGGCACTGCATCAGTCATGAACCCAGGGGTATAGAAGTGTGAGGTCAGTAAATCAGCATGAAAAAGTTATGAGTGAGCCTCTTACGATCAAATCTCAAAAGATGTTAGATTTGAGGGAGGGAGGACCAAGCATTTCTAACCAAAGCATTTCTGACCCATGGCTTAGCAAACCACATACCTACATGTATGTGAAACATGCCTTTTTCCACATGGGATCTGAGATTGAGCCAAAAAAAAAAAAAATCTCTCCAGCAACACATAATGCTTCTGTAATAGTACAAAATAAAATCTTCAATTTACATGAAATTTTAAGATCAAACCAGGAGACTTTGGAGCTGCCCATCGTTGGCCCAGTGTCTTCAGGGCTCTCTGACCTCTCCTTGCCCTTTGGGGCTGTGGGTTGCAGTACATAATATGTGCCTGGCACCTCAGGATGCCTCAACACCTGGTGAAGATGGCAATACATGACCCACTCCAAGGTGCTTGTCTACTTTCTGCCTGACACTGTCCTGCCATCCCCTAGAGGCCTCTGAAACATAGCTTCCATGCTATCTTAACTATAATGTTGGATAGTTCTTTTCTCTATATTCCGCCAGCGTTAACTGTCTGATATTTTCAGAAATTTTATTTTGAAAAGCCAAGGCAAACAGAAAAAATAAAAAGAAAGAAATGTCAACAGTATGCAAATTTACAAGTCTTCCTGTGATGGTGTTTCTGATACCTGCCATCCTGTGAAAGTCAAAGAGAACTTTGGTGACACATTCCATTTGGTAGCAGAAGTAGATTCCTGGCCATTAGGAAGCCTTGGCTCATGTTTTGACCTAGTCTAGGATCCTCACCCAGAAAGTGAGAAGTGAGAGGTTTGGCTTTGAGCTTTTTGGGTTTCTCTATTGTAGTCTGGCTACACTTTGGCTCTTTCAAAAACAACTTTCGCCTGACAAGAAGAAAAAGTCACATCTTTTGTTCATGAAATAGTTTGCGTATCACTTGAATAGCTATGAGAATAAAGTCTCTTGCCAAAACTATAGAGAAAAAAAAGTAAACAAAAACCTGGGCTCAGCGTAGCTCAGGAATATCAGATCTGCATTTTTAAAGGGCTGTATTCACTGAGACTAGATGAGGTCTAAGGTGAGCGGTGTAAGATGGCAGAGACTCGCTGAAGGATAATCATTTTCACTACAGCTATTCAGGTTATATTTTTGGTTATTATTGTTTGTTTTGTTTTCCAGAGCAATCCTTTTGAAGAAGTAATTTCAAAACTCATGAACAAATTTTCCAAGTCTAAGAAAAACAACAACAAAAACTCAACATGAACAGTGTTTCAGTGATGGGTAGGGGGAGGAGTGCCCCTGAATACAGAGGGAAAGATTCACAGCAGTTAAACTTCTCCATTAGGTTTTTCTTAGCCCTTGGAGTTCAGCTTCCAACAGGGCATGTTGTCTCCTCTTTGAGAACTGATTATTTATATATATATATAAAAGTCACCATCTCTCGATGCCCTCAATGCCCTTTACCTTGGGAAGCATGTATGGCAGGTGAACAGGATTGGGACATCCCTGCATCCATTCTGGGTAGCAAATAAAAGAAGGGTAAGAAAGGTAGATCCATGTTCCAAAAGAAAATCTATTAAAATCTTGAGTGGAATCAAAATCATGTCTATGGAGAAGGTTGAAGGAAATGGTATTATATAATGTAGTGAAAAGAATACTCATGATGTGGGTGGCAGAGATGGAAAAGATACTGCCTGCAAGAACATAAGACATATTGTGTGAAAGCAAGATTGGGCTCCTTCTGCAGCATGAAAAAGACAATTATTGCTACATATGAAGTAGTCACCATTCAGCTTTCTAATAATAGTTCATTTGGCCAATGCTATTATACTTCCCTCTGGTAGGATCTGTACTTTAAGAAAGGAGTGACCTCCAATACCTCTTAAAACCAAAGTTCTGATGACTCCCCAGTCTACGACAAGAAAACAGATTCTCAGCTGTTCCCAGAAAAGGAGAAACACAGACTCTGACAGTATTCAGGTCCCTCTAATGCAAAGTAGCCCAGATGATCTTCACAGTGAAATGAAGATAAGCCTGCTGCTCTGGCAATCTTTTAGTAATACAAATTAGGGTTTCAGGTCATCCCATTCAGCAGTTATACATTTCCCTCCCAAAGCTAGGTGTCTTTGCAGGTTGCTGCCAGCCCACCCAACACTCTGCTCTGTTCCCCACCCACTACTTGGGGGAAAACTCTGGCCAAGGCACCAGCAGAGTTCAAATCAGCCAAGTTCTCTCCTGGTGCTGCAACTCAGGTAAAACTATTCTCTTTCAAGATAAATGGCCTTCTTGTCAGCTATAGCTGGATGGAGTGCTTATTCAAACACCCTTGGCTACTTACCAGCTCAGACCCTGAAAACGTACAGGTAATTTCTACCCACCAACCAGTCTGTCGCTTGTCCACACTCACACCACCTTCTGTTCTGTCCTCCCAAGATAGATGTGACATTATAAACACCACTTTATGATCTTTAACACAGCAGGTGCCTTTAGAGCCTTCCAACACCATTATTAATAAGAGTCCTAATGAAGAACCGAAATAACCTGCATGTCACAGAAGATATGTCACCCTGTAGGAAAATTAAAGTGGCAAGTCATCTCACTTGTGGTCTGCTTGTTTTTTGTTTGTCTTCACTTCATTCCTTCTATGTGCCCCCATCCTCTCTTTTCTATGTCTGTTAATTCTCATAGAGCAGTTTATGCAGACTGGAGCTTGTTTGAAAAATCTCCCATTGCATTTGCTGTGTAGCCGGTAATATGGGCACTGAGCTGAGAAACAGAAGCGTTGAGCAGGAGTTCTAGCATCCTCCCTTCCACTTCTCTGCCCAGCGGAAATCTGTCACTTTAAGACTCTATCCCAGGCCAAGATGCTATCACAAAGATGCTATCACAAAGATGGCAGATGTAAGCTTTACCCAGCATGGCACTACTCCTGTCATGTTGGCTACTGCAACTTCAGAAAAGAAGGGCAAACATCTAGTCCTAAGAAAATTTCTTAGGCTGACATAGGCATTAGCAAACAATTTCTGAAAAGGGGCAGATAATTAATAGCTTAGGCTGAACACGTCAGAGATCTGGAACACTGCTCTTCAATTCAGTTGTAGCTCAAGAACATTCATGGAGACACTATCAAAACCAATGTCTGTCCCTGTGTTCCAATAAAATTTTATTTGTAATAAACAGGTCCTGGGCAACACTTGACCTTAGGAAGCCATGTATTGGTTCTGATGTAGTGAGAGATACAAACAAGGGCCCAATCATTGCCATGCTCAGTAGTGGTAGATTCTGCTAGTCTGGGGTTTAGCTATATCCTCCCAACTTGGTCCCGGACTCAGTGAAACAATTTGCCTCTCCAAGAGTAACTTTTAGGTTCTCCTTCTCATTCCAGAGATAAACCTCCCGATCCCTTTTAGTGCATGAGCCAAGCCCTTTCCAATCCTAAGACTCCACAACCACCCAAGCCTCCATCTCCAGCCCCCAGTAAATCTTTTTGTCTCTTGTTTTACATAGGCAGATGCTCCTTCAAATCAGTGGTAACGTCATTTTGCCCACCTCCCAAACTGTTCCCCGCAGCCAAAACTGACAAAAGTAGTTCCAATTCTATGTTCTTCTTTGAGAGCCTCTACCCTGCCCCGTGAAGCTCTCCCGTGCCCACATTAAAACCTCCTTCTTTGTCTCCTTCTTATCTCTCTCATTCTCTCTGTGCCACTTCAGACTGAGTGTCAAAAATACCCAATAAAACAATAAAAAAGGAGCAGCAGAATTGGTGGAGGAAGACTTTCTGGAAGAATTTTACAATAAAGGATGATAATCTGCTTAACCACATGCCTACCTTTTTGTCTTCCTCCATCATCATCTTCCCCAGCAGACGGATTATCTGTAAATACACTATAGATTTTGAGCTCCCTGTATGATACAACTGTACCTGAACCATCTGTGCAATTCCAAGATTAGGTGTAGTCCTTCTACAGAGTCAGGGCTTCTACAGAATGTATATCTATTGGATTAAAGGGTGTGTATACATTGCATGTCTATTTTGACTACTTTACCAGTAGTGAAACTCTTTCTGTTTTCTTGTGAGAGATAACACTCCAGCTCCAAACGGCACTACACCCAAACAAAGATATTGTAGCAGGCCAAGACAGTCTTTAGGGCTTGCTGGCTGCTAGTGCCTATCCTCGAGACAGCTTGACATTGGCATAATGCTCTGCCCTTTACTGGTTGTGTAGCCTTGAGTAACTCATATAATCAATGTCTTAGTTGTCTTCTCCTTTAAAAAGTGTGTAACGATAGTGTCTATTTAATAGGATATTCAGAGGATTAAATCAGTATAGTATTTAAAATGATTCTGTACACCAAGCACCTGTTCATTAAGTGCAGGCGACTCTTAACGTGACAAAGCTGGCCTAGTCTCTTCTTCAGGGTGGGAAGGACAGAGAGAAGCTGCTGGGAGCCCCTGACATGCATTTAAAAATTCTAACCAACTTCCTTACTCCAGCCTTATTTGTTTGTTGTTTTAATCTCTCTGCCCTCGGCTGCTGCACAAGGAGAGGAGTTGATTGGCAGCTTAACTGTTTAAAATCAATATAAGAAGCACTTGGAGATTAAAGCAATTTAAGCAAGGTACTGGCTGGAGTTGGGAGCTAAAACTGCTCTGGAAGGCAACAAACGAAGGAGATGAAGAAAGTGGGTCAGAAATGAAAAGGCACGAACTGTGTGAGTGGAGGTGAGATTACAACAATAGAGCAGCGTGACTTTTTCTTCAAAGATTGTTTCTTTTATGAAAAAAAAAGAGCCAAAGCCCTAATCTCAAAATTGTTCCAGCCTAGTACTTATTGTTCCTCTAACTTAAAAAACCTTGTCTGTACCTTCCCCCTGCTGCCGGGTCCCCCACCCACACAGACACTCATTTGATTTGCCTTCCAGGGATTATTATTACATCTCTGTTTTGCTGCTGGTGTTGCAGATAAAAATTCCACAGGAAGTGAGCCACAGAGTGCAGGAGGAGGTTCCTGGCTGTCCAAGGGGACAACCAGCCTCAGCCCCAGCTTCCCCGATCAGATGATTGATTCGATCAGCCTGGTCTCCCATGCAGGACATGCTATGGAGAGAAGGTGAGTCTGTATTTAATGCACAAGTAATTCAAACAATTTTGAAGAAGACAAGGAAGCTTCAGTATCTCCCTTTCCTACCTGTCTCTAGCATCCATTGGATCTTTCATTTTTTGTTTGTTTTGTATATTCCTATTATTCCTCTTGTCCTGCTCACTCTGTGCTCAAAAAATTTAACTTAGTAGAAAAAATATTCACCTCTTATGATCCCCTACCTTGTCCTTCCTTTTCCCTAGCCATTACCAAAGGTCTGGTCTTGACTTCGTCTCTCCATTTCTTTCCCTTTTCTACAGATATAGGAAAAAAAAAAAGAAGGGGAAATCCTTTGGAAGTGCTGTAATGCTGAACTAGAATAAGTGATAAAAGAGGGAAAAGTATGTGGGTTGAAGTTTAAGAAGAGTATGCAGATGGACTGTGGAAAAGAAAAGCCTGGCAGATGTGGCTAGTGTGCTGGCCAAAAGCAGAAAGGAGGGAGTCCAAACAGCTTCGGCAAGGTAGACCTGCCTCCTGCCCTCTATAAAGACCTCCCTCTCCTCTCCTCTACTGTTCCAACAGCCACCAGCTGCCCCAGCAGACCAGATGCCCAGCACCTGATTTGGAGGCTATGGGTGACACCTGACTGAGCATTCAACTGTCATCATAGATGAAGTGTGACTGTCTGGAACCCTCTTTCAAATTCTGTCTTCCAGAAACTCTGGTTTATGCCCTCTTAGACCACAGTAGGCAGATCTTCCTTTCTCCCCCAACTGTCTAGCTTGAAGGCAAGAATCCGTAGACCTGTGAGTGGCCTCCTACCACTGACTGGTACACCGGACCATTCCAGGGATCTTTGCTCTGTTTATTTGCCATTTGAAAATCCTCTCTTTATGTTGTGTTTTAAAAAACAAGCAAGGTCTCGCAACTATCCTGTTTTTCTGTTGTTGCTATCATCTTGCCCTTTAATTAAATCTGACAGCTACACTGGCAGGTTTGAGCTGGATGCAAACCAAGGCCAAGTGGATTCAGCATAGGGTTGTCCTGCCTCTTGAAAGCTGAGTCGTAATACAAAGCCTAATGCAGAGCAAAAAGAAATCAATTCTCAGCCAAACTCGTATTTCACTGTGAATGGTATTTGTGATTAGCAAGGCAGGCACAAGGTAAAATGTTTTTGTCATATTCATAGCTATTGCTTTGTGATCATTGCCTATTAGGTGAATTTTAATTGTGAGTTTTAGAGGTAGATAACGATTCACTCAAAAGCATGACAGTTAAAACATTTAGGGTGTTTCTTGTTGGCTCATCCAGTGGGAAATTTTTGAGATCCTATGAAATGTGTAGCAATGTGGCTGGCTTATATTTGGTTCCAGGAGATATATTTATAAAATTGCACCACAAATATATGGTTGCCTTCAGTGATAAGTACAGGCTGTTAAGGATGATCTAATAGCTGGGTCAAGACAGGGACAGAGAAGTATTGGTGAGGAAGTGATACTGAGCTGTGATATTCAGAGGAACAGGTTAGCTAGGCAAAGTGTGTGTGTGTGTGTGTGTGTGTGTGTGTGTGTGTGTGTGTGTACTACATGTATTGTGTATGTGCTCAGCTGTATGCCAGATGTGTAGTTGCAAAGTGAAGAATGTTGCAGACAAAGAAATCGGACAGCAGAGACCGAGAGGAGGAAGTATTGTAGGTGGGTCCTGCCTTAGCAGATTCATTCTAGTAAAGGAAAAAGTCATGGAAAGAGAAAGCAATAACACAGGCTACTGAGTGATGACAGCACTCACACCTTTGAGACTCCAGAAGACCCCCTTCCTCCAGAAATACCTCCATCATCCACCATTAGTTGGATTTCAAATTCTACTCCTAGCCAGCATAATCTTTGTGTTCTTCTTGTCCTTTACAATGTAAAATGTAAGCCCATGTGTTAATTAACTCCTTTCCCAGCCAACATTTATTGGATGCTTACAATAAGCCAAGCAGTGTTCTAGTAGTAAAGTCCCCAGTAATCAAGGAGATGGCAACATTATCTCTCTTCCTGGAGCTAGTGATTCTTTTACAGGAATGCCATTGATTTTTTTTACTTTGTTTCCTACTACACCTGGAGAACAGAATCTTAAGCAAAATAAATTGGACACATAAGTTTAAATATCACATTGTTTCTCTTGAGAGAGAAACTCAAAGGATAAGCAAGAAGCATTAGGGAGCATAGATATTCACAAGTGGAAAGAATGTGCTCAAATGGGAAGGCAAACAGGGAGAGGAGAAGGGAAAGAACGAATAGAAAACTAGAAGGAAAAAGTGAAAACAAAGCTTTTCTAAATGAGGAAGGGAAGAAGGGTTGAAGGGAGGGGAAGGGAATGGAAAAGTAAAGAAGAATCAAATTCCCAGTGATGAATATGACAAGCACATATGACAAGCACGTACCAATAACATTATAAAGGTCTAAATAAAAAATTTTTTAATTTAAAATAAAATAAAAATACCCTCCCCAAAAACCAAAACAATTATCTTTTTTTCTATTTTGTCAATACATCTAACAGTATATCGTTCAACTATAACTTTACTTTCTCGTGTGTGGCTTTGTGAGTTAGACTTTCCTGTCTAGTGGAAACAGTGTAGAGCATGTTGAGTTTCACCTATTAATTAACAGGAAAATGACAAAGTAGCAACCATGAAATATACCTTGTCATTATGTGAGACATAAAGACAGCAGACTATCTCTATATTTACAGGTTACTGTACCTTATCTAAATTATCTCTGGAGGCATATCTTGTGGTCTGTATTCTCCAGGTAAAACTGTATCAAATCCTGTCTGGACCCCAGGTGAAGGAATGCTTCTATGAAACTATGTAAATGGCTTTCAAGGAAGATTGCTCTGAGACCAAACGATACATTTTACCACTTAATTTTTCCTACTAATTGGAAGAAAAAGGTGATAGCAGTGTTCTTTGGATTTTAAAGACACAAAAACTCTTGTATTTGGCCAGAATCCATAGTTAATTAAAGAAGAAAGCTGGTGTTTCCTGAAGCATAGGACCACTAAAATAACCACAGTCACAATGATTAAGTCCAGAGGTATGATAGGGAGATTAACTCAGCAGCTCAGGTATTCTCACTCAAAGATTTTCAAATGACTGTCAAATGTGTGTGTGTGTGTAATATACAGTGTACAAGTAATATACAATATATTATGTAATCACTTTGTGAATATCATAGGGACCTTCATTCACAAGTTTAATTGATTGTCAAGTGTGTGTTTAATATCCTATGTAATGTAATACACGATATGTAATATAATACTTACTTTATCATATCATATATAGCACAGAGGTCATTTATTTTCTACTTCATGAAAGAGGACATACAAATGAAGTAAGTTCTAATTCACCTTAGAATATTATGTTTGTAAAGACTTCTCCAAGACAATTCAAATTTTTTTTATTTTAAAAACAAAAACAAAAAAGGATAGAAATGATACAGATTTTTTAAAAAGTAGGAAATTAACACTAATGTATTGCATATTATTCTAAGAAAATTTTAACTCTCAAAATTTTGTCCCAACCCCCATAGACTCTTTCACCCTCAGATAAATATTGATTCTAACAGTGACCTGAGCCTTGAAGGTGGTTGTCTCCCATGAGTACAGGTGAAACAGATATTACATCATTTACATGTATACATACACAATCCCACAATGTGGGATTTTCCTGTTCTTGTCTCATTGCATTATGGATGTAACAGTTATCTCTAGCACCCACATTTCCTGGAGCAAAACCAGGTAGTTTTACAGATGTCACAATGAACAGGTCCTTATGACTCTAAACTGAATTTAGAAAATGGAAACTATAGTCCAGCAGGGCACACTCAGAAAGTGTGTTGGTTGAGGTAGTTACAAATGTAACACCATTGCTTGTAATAACAAAAGTAATATGACACTCCTGGGGGCTATGTCTAGAAAATGTTACTTTGTATACCCCAGAGAGGTGATATAAATATAATCATATCCAAGACAATAAAACACAATTTTTATCTGGATCCCCCTTATTTATTAACTCCCTGACTATTACGAATTTTTTTTTTCTGTATGGACTTACTAATTGTCTAGTATGATTCATTTGGAAACACTGCTTTCTATTTTTAAGCCTATAAAATAGTTTTATTCTCCCTGTGGTTATTTTTCACAATTTCAGCACGTTTGTCTGTGATGTCTTATTGGAGAATGTGGTCCATTCTACAGTGGCTAAACACTGCCCAAATAGAGCACTGGGAACCACATACCAGTCTCCTCCCAACCATGACCTCTGGACCAGAGCGGGTTTTCTTGATCTCCCTCAGGAATTCTGCATGTCAACATGGTGTCTTATTTCAGTTCAACACAGTTCTCTGTGACATAGCATTTTTAATGGTTGGATGGCTACAGACCAGTCTGAGTATGTTTTACCTACCCCAAAGCTATGTAGGTCTGTGAGGATATTTAAATGCTCCATCCTTCTACCTCATATCCTTCTCTATTTTGCTCCCAAGAGGGATCAGAAGGTTGTGCCCTTCTCTATGTGTGATTCCAATTATTTTAGATGGGTTCATTACCTCAGACAGAGGAATAGAAAGGCATGTCTTGAAGGCTACGATTGCTCAGAGTACCAGTGAACACTTGCTGAATATTCTTTCATGTTAATAGAGATATTGACGTTAAATATATATATATCACTAATTGTCCTCTGGGATACTCTTTAAATTTTTTTTTTCATACACCCGTCAGCTAATGGATTGTTCTGTGATTTCAACACAGTCATTATTATTCATATATTGACAATACACTGATTACTTTCTCCATTTAATAACTCTGAAATTTCCAGGGTTTATCCACATCTACTTCCACTCTTTCCAGATACAAATTAGTATTATACTTCCTGACTCCCTTACAGATAGTTAACTAGGACCACAAATCTAGTCCTAACCAGTGGGTTGTGAGAGAAAGTGATATGAATTATTTCTGAGATGAAATTGACTTACAAGTCCCTTTTTTTACTCTCTTTATTCACTGTATAGACCATGGAGGTCACATTTCTAGATGACATATTCTGTGTCACTGAGACACTATATGGAAGTTACTTACTTTGGAGGCTCCATAGTAATCTCTATGCAAGAAAAATATACCTGAGTTTTGTAAAACCACTGAGATTTTGAGATTGTTTATCATTACAGCATGATATATTCTTTATTAAGCAATAAAGACCTCTGCCATAATGACTATAATATCATATGGCCCCACGTCTGTTTGGTTTACAAAGTAAGCTCATATCTTTTGGAAGATTTAGCATTCTTTGCTCTACATACTTTGTCACAGTTAAATGAGGCTCTGCCAGAGATATAGGTAATTTCACAGCTTCCCTCAGTCCAACTTGTGCACAGGCAAGGGCTGCGTGGCAATTCATACAGTGTGAACCAATTTCATCCTAAACAATGTTAGTGTTCAAATTTGTGGGGCCCATAGTCATCACTGATAATATGATAATGCTATATAAAACTTAGATGATTCACGACAAAATCTGACTCACTCTTGAATTTATGGGTTGCCAGCAAATTAGGGGGCAGGAAAATCTTCTGCATGACACTGTGTCAAATTTATGTAAGAGGTGTTTATTTCTGGGTCCAGAAAGTACCCAGAACATGTACTTCTAATAGATTGTAAGAGATGATACTTATCAAGTCTGCACATTTATATTTTCTGTCAATGGCATGTCATATCTGAGAACATATCATGAGTGCAAATAATTCACATTTCCAGGTTCAAAGTGAAGAAGGCTAGGTCTGAGGTAGAGGCCTACACTCTACCTGCTGTACATGGAATCACAACAAAACCACATCAAAGGACATCAGCTTAGACATCTACTAAATAAAAATAAGTGAATAAAATTCATTCCACCAAAAAAATCATACTGGAACAGGAAAAATGAAGGTGTATTAATTTGAAATGATTGTGAAACCTTACCCTCTTGATAGTTTTTCCCCATCATTCCATTCAGCTACATATTTAGTATTTCATGGTCCTGAGATTTGAGTATTTATTGTCATTTTTTTCATTATTTTTTGTGTTGACCACCTAGCGAATAACCCTCCTAATTTGACAAGTTGCATTTTCATTTACTTTCATGGTTGATTATTTTGGATTAATTGTTTAATTATCAATAACTCTGATTTAATCAATTATCACAAAAAATTTATTTCCAGTGGTATATTCTTTTATTGTCTCCTTTTACTGTTGTGATTGTTTCAACCAATATGACAATCATGTAGACAGGTTATATTAATTTCTCTTTTCCAATGATGTCACAAAGCAAATTCCTTTCTTGATTTCATCTGAGATTTTTGTGGGGGTCTTCCCCAGTGAAAAACCATTTCACATCTTATATTTCATCATTCTTATCTATATTTTGGATGTAGATCATGAAAGCATGTGCTTGAATGTTCCATGAAATGATGGTTAAAAGACAGATAATAGCCAGGTCAGATGACTCAGAGCTATAAAGTCAGTTGCTTGGGAGGCTGAAGCAGAAAGATCACAAGTTGGTGCCCTACCTGGGCAACTCAGCAAGACATTTTCTCAAAATAAAAAAAGAAAAGGCCTGCGAAGAGATAAAACTCAATCCAAAGGCGCTAAATTCAATTCCCAGTATCACAGAAACCTAAGAAAGGATGGATAGTGAAAAAATGGTAAATATCCTGCTGAACTTTCAGTGACTGTGGTTTTGAGCTAAAACGTGAAGTGCTCTTTGAATCGTTTTACCATAGCTGCTGTCTGGGAATAGAAGTTGAAGCTGAAGACCCAGCTGATATTCAGAATGTGAGCCTGTTCTTAGAGCTTATGTGCTGTGAAATGGTACCTCTAATCCAAATTCAAAGAACACTCACTGAGTTACTTGGTATAAACTCTGTTCTGAGGTTTAGGGAAGGAGCAACAAGACATGAAAATCCCAGCCTTTGTGGAACTCGCATTCTGATAAAATCTGAAAGAAACTGGAAAGACAATTTTAATAGCCTCAAAGTAAAACTTTTGAGTATTAAGTGACTGATTTTAAAGAAAACAACTAAAGAAAAGAATGATAGTGTGATGGCACATGCCTGTAATCCAGCACTCAGGAGGCTGGGCCAGGAGGCTTGCCTCGAATTCAAGGCCAGCCTGGGCTACATGGTGAGTGCAGGCCAGCCTGAACTACACAGTGAGACCCTGTCTCAAAAACAAAGCAAAACAAAATGAAACAAAGAAGCCTTCTTCCATTAAAGAAAAAAATATGTTTTCAGTAATGGTAATCCGGAGATGGAAATACATCAAGTTATCAGGGAGCCTTTTGGTGGAGACCCACAAACGGCAATTAGGCTGAGCTTTGTTTTCCAAATTATTTTAATTTGAAGAATGTACATCCCAAGACATAAAGGCATTTTTCAATGTGCTTTGAATGGGCCCTGGACTCTATCTGTGGATCCTCCACTGGCTCTAGGATCTTCTGACCAACCACACCTCAGGCATGGCAATGAGAGAAATGAATGCATAGGCCCAGGCTCTGGCTTGCTTTCTCTAATCAGCACAATAGTCCTGCAGTGTACATATCATTGTCTCTCTTTTGTTTCCAAGATTATATCATTAATAAGTGCCAGATCAAAAATTTAAACACAAAGTCTCAAGTCTGTCTCCAAAATGCAGGCTGTCTTTATTACATTGCATTTCATTCTTACTTGCTCACTAGATTATTCATTCATTCTTTCATTCATTCAATCCTTTCTTCAGAAAATATTTATTGACTCTTAGCCCTAGACATATGTGATATGAGAGAAGGGAATTAAATTTTAGTAAAATTTACAAAGCATTTTCTCTGATTCATGTCCATGAAACACATTGTGGGAACTCAGAGGTCTGCAGTAGCTGCACAGAGCCTTCCTACAAAAGGCAACGTCTTAGAATGTGGATGCTTAGGGTCTAAAGGTCAGCATTCCTGAAGCAGAAACAACATGAAGAAAAGATTAAGGGTCAGAAAATATAAGTTATAGAGAATTTCATGGTGAAAAAGCAGAAGTTTTCAAGCTACATACTAATTTCAGAATATTTAACCAGTATTTAAGACTTGCACATTTCATCTATGTATCTAGGTTTCAGCTACCTTTTTAAAAATTATGAGATACAAAAACTCAGGGAAGCTTTTATTTGGACCCAGTTTACTGAAGCTGAGCAATAGCCACTTCCCTCACTAACTCTCCGGAGCTGATGCACACATTTACATGTGTGCTCTGCAACTGTGTGCATTTGAGTTCGCAGCCTTTGAGGAGTAGATACAGAGCAAGAGGCAGCAGATGAAGCTACAAAGATCAGCTGGGGCATTTGCGGGTTGCTTTCCCTGGTGGGCTAGCTAATGGAAAAGCCAACTGGAGCTACATAGTCTGTCTGCTGTTGCCTGCTTATGTTTTTAGCACCTTCCTCTGTGGATAGATAAAACCAGGATGAAGTGCCAGCCCTGGACAAGTTCACTCCTGCCTAGCAATTTACTGTGTGCTAAACCTGCTGGGTAGAACAGAATGAGCATCTAGGTAGAGAGAAGAGCTATGAAGCTGAATGTTTGGCTAAACAGCCTTTTCTTTAAAAGTGATTCTAGTTAGTAATTGGTGAAGTCTTACATATCCATTATTGCCTTGACCTGTTCTGGGATTTGAATGTTAGCTTTTAATGAGTCAGCCAAGAAGGCAGTAATGGATGCGTAAATGGATTAATTTCTGTGATTGGTTTGGCATTTTCTTAACCTAGAGATAAATGTTAGAACATGCAGCAAAGAGAGCATGAGGACAAGTCAATCAGAGAGGAAAAGGAGAATGCAAAAAGTTAGACAAAAATTTATGGAGCACCTACTCTGTGTCAAGAACCCTCCCTGGTGATCAGACAAATAACGTAATTGGTGTTTTTGTTGTTGTTGTTTATTTCTTATTGTTGGATTTTTTTCAATAAAGGATAATCACTATGCAAGTTATTTATCAGAATGCAAAAATTTGAAGTCTTTGAGTCAGTTAAAGTAAGAACAGATATAAATTAGGCAGTGGGAACCAGCCAGTTGTGCTCAGCTCTAACACATCTGAAGACTACCCTCATTTTAAGACATATGTAACAGAATACTGACCCT